ATGTGGACCATTTCAACCGGAGAAAGAGGATTTTGTCTGGGTCCCGAGAGTCAAAACTGTCTCAACGTCTCACTGCTAAAAACCGTCCGCACAACCATCGAGTGAAGACCCCGACGGGGAGTTTCAAAGGCGTACTTCGGCAGACATGCGCGCTACAGTTGCCCCCCGCCCCCCGCGGTCACCTCAACTTCCGGAGCCAAATAGCGCTACAGTTCCCCCCCCCACCGATCACCTCATAGCTTCGGGAGACATAGGCCGGCTTACAGTTGCCCCCCCCCCCCGGATCACCTCACGTGCCCGCAGACGTTTGTTCGGATCTAAACCAAATGGTTTTAATCCCCGCCGCGCTTGAACACCCGGCCATGGGGAACCTCTCTTTTAGAGACGCACTCTTACTGTTCCGCACCGCACACTCGCAACACTTACCTCACTTACGAACTCTCGAGACTCTGGTAGATTAATTTTGGACAATATTCGTGACTTATTCATCCAAGTGCAAATTATTAGTCACAAAAGGCGCACCTCCTTGACCTCGCTTCCCCGATGCTCCGATTTCCGATTCGTAAGCGAGCAAAGAGACTCTTTTTTCGGCGGAAGTAAAATCTTTTTACAGGTAAGGGTGTGAAGTTAACAGAGAAACAAGCTAGGCTAATGTTAGCGGCAGCCGAACAGCGGGTAGGGACAAACTCAGATTTCTATCCTCAAACTGAAATGTTATTGACTGTTTTAATATCCGAGAGGAGACTTCAAAACCTCCATGCACCATGAACACTGAAGGAAAGAGGTTGAAGACTACAACTCCCATGATGCCACGCTGCACAACAACCCCCAACAAAAATATTTTACTGCAGTTTTCATGAAATCGTGTACTAATACTTGCAGAAATAATCGAGGCATTTGTTTTAGAGATGAGGCAACTTTCTTTTTGTCTTCTTAAACACTCCTGCATGATGGGATCTTACGTTAAAGACTACAACTCCCATGATGCCACGCTGCTTCACCACACTAAACAAACAGATTCTACTGCTGTTTTCGTTGAAATGTTGTGTGTTTAAGTGCTTAGACTTGCAGGAATCAGTGAGTGTCTTCTTCTGTTCAGCAGGAGTTTTAAAACAGCCTTTGATTACTTTTCCCCATGTGACGCATTCAAGTGCAGCTCACCTGCTTCATGGTGTCCTTTGAATTGAGGGCCTCAGGCAGTGGAGTCTAGGAGAAACAGGAAGAGAGACTTTATCAACACTGAGACATTTCTGCAGATCCAAAGCCTCTGACATAAAGCAGGTCACTTTCTCTCCCTCCACAGGAACTCGCTGATGATAATCTCGCACCAAATAATCAGTCACTACCAAGCTGCACCGTGCAGATAGAAAGCATCATTATTTTCTTTTCATTTGGATGGAGGTCAACGCAAATACATTATCTCAGCTTGCGATGTGTTACCATTGTCTCCAGCGGGGTGTGTGTGGGAGTTAAGAGTGTGTGTGATGAAGTGGGTGGAAGCAGAGAAGCCTTTGTTGGGTGATAATGTTGCTTTTAACTACAGTACAGACTATCCTTTTCCCACTCAGAGCCATTTGAATATTACATGCACTGCAACGGCTGCAACATATTTAAACATGTATTATTTTATGCATGCAAAAATATGTTTGTTTTTTGAGTCATTTATCGGTACATTTAACTCAATAATTGTAATCAGGATCAGAATCAGAATACCATAGTTACTTGCCATTTGTACAACGCATGGTTTAGAGATTAGGATAAAAAAAGTAATTGCGATTATTTTTGATGAATTTTGCAATCGTAACGTGATTCCTAACACTGAACGGCTTGATTGAACAATTATGCTGCTTGATAGTATTTCACATATTGCACTTAATTATTATTATAGGATTTAAGGTGAGTTTTAATAGAATACAAATAAGTGCTCTTAGTGTGGAAACCACAAATAGGCATGCTGTTTTTTCTAATTAAATACAATTACATCATACAGATGAAGGATTATATCATCCACAACAATACTAAAACACATAAAGATGTTATGTGTCTTCAAAGCTTTTTTCTTAAAAGTCGAAATATTTTTTTTCTCAGGGAAACAACTTTATATATATTTTTTAATTATATTAATATTTGCTGACCGACATAATTATAAAATGTCCCTTCTTTGATGGGCTTTTGGAGAACCATAACACCAGACTTTCCTATAATAATGTAAAGCCTTTAAAGATATGATCAATGAACCAATATTCTTTGTGTGAGATCAATGAACTAATACTGAATATTTAACACACAAAGCCAAAGAGCCGTTTACATTTCTGAATGCACAGACTGGAGGCCAGGTGTGTCTGATGACCTGCTGCCACTCTGAGCTCTGATTGGCTGTCTGTGCACCTGCTGCTGAAGGCCAGCTCATTCAGTGTGTGGTTAGCAGAAGTTACAGAAAGATAATAGGCCTAACTGTGGTGTGGATTATCTAGAAAAAAAAACATTCAAAAGCCGATCTCTTCAGGAAAAAGTGCGATAAAACATCTCTCTGCACACAAACCAAACCTCTGTTAAAAAACAGCAGATGTAACGTGCAGCAGTGGAAACGTGGCTAAACTGCTAAATATCTGAGAATACACTTTTTAAGCTCCCAGTGTTTTAGTTTTTCAGACATAGTCAAGTACAGGATTATACGACCTCAAGCATGTTTCTGACAGGATTGCATCCAAAACATGTCGCTGTCCACCAACCGCGATGCAACGCTGCAAACCAATCAAACCAAACCTCTGGTAAAAAACAGCAGATTTAACGTGGAGCGGCTCTGCGGGGAAAACATGGCTGACTTTCATCTTCTCATAAAAGACAATTGTAATGCACCCGTTAATGTTTCATTCGGCTGGAATAATGGATGTATATTTGGATATAAACTGGTCAAAAACTGGATTTCTGGATCTTTCTGAGAGGATTACGACACATGGAGGCAGCGCTTAGAGAAATCTGAGCAGAGCAGAACAGGTAGGCTATGTACACAAACACTTTATCACCTGTTGGAAATGTGTGGGTGAAGCGGGGGTGAAGACGTACTCAGGTCGTTTACTTGAGTAAAAGTAGAAGTACTCCGATTTTGTACTTGAGTAAAAGTAGAAGTACTCCGATCTTGTACTTGAGTAAAAGTAGAAGTACTCAGACCTTGCTCTTGAGTAAAAGTAGAAGTAATCAGATCTGATACTTGAGTAAAAGTAGAAGTACTCCGATCTTGTACTTGAGTAAAAGTAGAAGNATAGCCATTTTGCTATATTATACATTATCAATATGTCAGCTACTTAAACAATGTATTTAAGATGTTTTTATGAAATAAGTACAGGTTGGAAAATGTATTTTTAAAAATACATTTTCCAACCTGTACTTATTTCATAAAAACATCTTAAATACATTGTTTAAGTAGCTGACATATTGATAATGTATAATATAGCAAAATGGCTATCCTATTGTAAATGTTTTTTTACTTATTGGGGAAAGCCCAAAAAGTGTTGCAACTGTCCCTGGTCTCCCCTACTCTTTGATTTCATAGTTGTTTGGAAAGGTCTCGAGCATCTAAAGTTTCCCTTTCAAAATAACACTCAAGAATTTGACAAAGGAAATGGTAAACTTCAACAGGAAGGTCCACATTGAAATAAAATACATGTATGTGGAAAGGAGGATTTACTGTTGGAAATTATGTGCAGTGATATGAGGTTAAATTGTTAACATAGGTTCAGGAGCATGGCCATGCCTAAAACTCCGCCTCGAACCACGGCCACCCCTATTTATATCTGGCAAAACCTCCGGCCACTGCTTGTCTCCATCTTTTCAACCCACCCTCCCTCTCCCTTCTACCCATACAGTTCCCCTTCCGACTCACACCGAGCGATACATCCATCCATCCCTTCTTCCCTTCTTCCCTCCCTCCCCTCAACATCCCTCATCCTCTGCCCGTCAACATTTATATTTAAACTGTGCATATTTATATACTGTATNAAAGCTTATAGTTAGGGCTGATTAGATTCAGCCCCTAGTTTTGCTGATATAGGCTTAGTTTGTCGGGGGACATCTTACTTCTTCCTTCTCTCTGTCTATACCTGTGTACTCTCATGTTCCGATTAACCCAGCTTCCCCAAATTTCTTTCTTTTTGGTGTCTATATACGCCGGGATCCGGAGTCATGGATGATCCTGCGGTCCTGTGTCATGGATCGCGAGTCCTGGATCTTGAGTCGTGGCTGTGGTCCTGGATCATAAGGCCTGGATGGATATCCTCGTGGATTCATCTTCCTATTATACACACATGCATTTCCAAACATTTGGACTACCTATGTTGCAAATGTATTATCTTTTCAATTTACACACGGCATCTATTGCACGTCTGTCCGTCCTGGGAGAGGGATCCCTCCTCTGTTGCTCTCCCTGAGGTTTCTCCCATTTTTCCCTTTAAACTGTGGGTTTTCTCTGGAAGTTTTTCCTTGTACGATGTGAGGGTCTAAGGACAGAGGGTGTCGTGTTGTCATACTGATATTCTGTACAAACTGTGAAGTCCACTGAGACAAATGTAACATTTGTGATATTGGGCTATATAAATAAACATTGATTGATTGATTGATTGGGGTTTTTTTCAACTTTTTGCACATTCCTTTTATTCCTTTTTGAACACATGCTTTTAGGAATCTTAAGACTGATCTGCTGCTAGCTTCAAACAAAGAGACTGTTTTGCTACTTGATGAATAACAATTACTAGGAAAAGGCTTTTCTCACACAAAACTAAAATCATTAAACACACTTAATTTCATTCTGTGAGCAAAGAATTACATCTTTCAAAGAAGCAACATTGTTGCTTGACTGAATTGTGTCATTAATAACAGGTAGCTTTAAAAAGAGAGACTGTGTGAGGCATGTAATTTAACATAAGTGCGAGTGGGTACTAATATGTTGTTGTGTAGTCTCAGTTATTCAGTGTTGAACAACAATCTGTTTTAAAAAGTTCATGGTGCAAACTGAATCCTGACCACGTCACAGTACAGTACAGGTTAATCATTTTGTAAAATTCAAAGATTTGTACTTTAACCGGGATATAAAACCATAACGCAGCATGTGAAAGTATTTCATTAGAGTTTCTATTTTGACATGAAGATGGCCAAGGTGACAGAATATTAGCTGGTCTCATTTGAGGAATAATGGGATAGAATAGATGTTTTTTTTGTAAAGTCATATCGCCTCCAGCTGTTCAGGAAGTGAACTGCAGAGGGGAACAAAATTGCCTTAAAATCATTCTCAGTCCTGAGGAAATAAAGTTTCTTCTGCCAGAAAACAATGCAAGAACTCTCTGAATGTGAGGTCACTTTGGTCCAGAGTCCTGTAAATATGAAAATAGGTACTCTGAGGACATGCTTTATACTGACATCAGTGCATCTCCGTGGAGATGTTTAAACATGTTGACATGATGTAACCCTCCTTTCAATGAGTAAATTATTCAGAGTGCCAGAAACTAGGTTTTCATGATGGAAAAAGTGTGGGCTGGGTGGAGACAGAGTAAGTCATTGTCCTCATTAAGTTAGGACAGATGTTTCTAAAAAGTAGGACCTGGAAACCTCTGTATGTTTCAGAAGTAAACTCAATGTTGTTCACTAGCAGGAACCACGCCACAACAGTGTGATGTTTGTAAGTTTATTGAAGTAACATGTGAATGATATGAGGGGGGTAAAGGGATGATCTGGGAGGACGAGCTGTGGTCCGTGCAGTGGGAGACTCAGAGTGGGGGTTCCGTCTCCGGCTTGATCTGCGTGGGCTGATTACGGGCCCCAAAAAGAGTTGCATTAAAAGCAGCTGACTTGAGCGTGTGTCTGTCTGAGATCATTGAGATTGTTGCGGGTGTAAGCGTGGTACGCTTGGGATGACGACCGGACGAGGGCCTTGATGATTGGATAAGAGATGCCCGGTCTGGCTGCTGTGGACGCTGCGCCAATGCGGAAGGAATGGTTCGAATAGTGTTCTGAGCATATCCCCAAAAAAAGCAACACATTGTGGAAGTGTAGCCATTTGCCCTGTTTCGGTGTGAAAGAGTGGGTTTTGAGGCGTTGCGTGTGCATCGTACCTTGTGCTGAGGTATTTGGTNGTGTGTGTGTGTGTGTGTGTGTGTGTGTGTGTGTGTGTGTGTGTGTGTGTTTTGTTGAAGTGTTTAGTGTTGGGCCACACACACACACACACACACACACACACACACACACACACACACACACACACACACACACACACACACACACACACACACATACATTTCCTCTCCTTTAACTTCATGAGCCAATTGGCTGATTTGTGTATGTGTGTGTGTTAAACAGCAGGCCTGTCTGCACCTCTTTGTCCTCTTCAACGGATATCAGCAGCCCGAGTGCTGGTTTAAATAAAGGAGAGGAGAGGGCAACCACTCAGTTCGACAAAGTGACACTGCACCTGCCAGGTCAAACAATGTAGCTTGGTGCAGTAATGTATTTTTGTTGGCCGATCAGGAATTTATCATGGCATCGGCCTCCATCAACAAAACACAGATTTTTCCATTAGATTTTGGATGATAACAGAAAATAAGCTCTGTGGCAAACAAACTTTTATGATGCTTATGACTAGTTTGGTATCAACAACACTTTGAAATATTTAGCGTGAAGATAATCGGCAGAACTTAAAAGCTAATGTTAGGCCATGAACAAACTACATTATGGTGCATTATGACTTCACATTAACACAGCTAAACTAAAGGTGTACTCGTGGTCAGCGCGATGACGTTCAGTAGTTGACTTTGATGCTTACAGCTAGCCTTAGGTCTATTTTTATGGTCTATCATTATATATATATATACCAGATTTTGTTTCTTGTTTAATCAATTATTGGATTGGATTAGAACAATTTCAGAAAATAATTAAAATGCCTATCACGATTCCTCAGACACTATGCCTTCAATTTGACATTGATCCAAATCTAGATCTCAGAATTTTGGGAGGACAGTTTTAACATAACTATATATGAAAAATATATCAATAATTTCCACATGTTTATGGACTAGAATAATCCTCTTGAAGAAGAAAGATTGGGTTTGACAATATGTAATGTCCTGCTGGGAGCTAATCCTCAATAGGTTAAACAGCTGAAGTCAGGCAGCATTGTGTCAGTCCACCCAAAGCTGCAGACAGGAGTCTGCCCCACAGACATGAACTCAGGAAGAGTTAATGAACACAGACAGGATGCACCTTTTATTTTCGCTAGGAGCGGTACGAGCCGGATATTCTAAGCACTGGGATGTCTTAAAGAAGGAGGAAACATTTTCACCCTGAAGCAACAAATACAAAAACGACTGGCTCCAGTTAGCTCGGCTAGATGCACAAGATCTTTTGCTACTGATAATTTTAAGCATCAAGTGATAGGAGTAATTTAGGTAGGCCTGCTGTGTTTTTTAAATGTCTTGTCGTTGTACATAAACTTAGATTCATATTTAAAATGAAATAATAAAAAATCACATTAAAAAGCTCCAAGAGTGTACTTTCAAAGTGGTGCTGGAATGAATCATATATCTGGAAATAAGTTAGCATTTAATACTTAGCATTTTCGCTTGTGTCAAAGTCAATGTTTTTTTGAATGCGTTTGTGGTTAGACATTGGAAATAGGGTCTTAGGTTTATGCAAGTTTTCGCATTTTTCACAGAGGGTTCAAGAAGAAAGATGTGTCAGTAAACACCCCACTGGTTTGCTTCCTAAGCTTCTATGTGTAGAAATGGCGGTCGCTTACAAGTGTCTTGGACCACCAATCGCCATCATGCTGAACATGAGCCGCCTTTAGCTTAGTGATCTTGATGCGAAGTCCTGTGACAGTACATTACAGCTAATACGCTAGCTTCTACTGCAAAAAGATAGCTTTCGACTTTTGTAAATTGCATTTACACTTCAAAAATAAGTGGTGTTAATATGTGAATCCTGAGGAACAAAATATCAAAGCACCATACATGTGCATTTTCTGCAATTATCCAACATCAAATGGAAAAATCGCGTTGGTTTTTGTTTGGGGAGCCCTTGCAATGTTAACTTCAAGGTCAGCCTACAAAAATACGTCATCACTTCCCCCTAACCCCTCACTGTGTAGTGATGTTGTTATGTGGAGAATCTGTGCTCAGCACTAACACAGCAGAGGCTTGCTCCAGGTCTAGCTGAACCTGATGTGCAGCATTCACTGCTTCAAAGGCAAACAGAGGACAACCCAGTCTGGGCCTTCACCGTCCTCAGCTTCACCTCTGTGTCTCCAACAAGACTTCGCTCTATAGGAGCCTTCTGCTTCACATGTACCTTAGCACCTGGCTCATTCCTAGTGTTCCTCCTGTGTACTGTCTAGGATGTTCATTTAGATGTTTGATTAATAGTTAATTCTATAGGCACTTTCACACCGCAGTACTTTTCCCACTTTAGTTCCGATATAGTTCCGAAATGTTGCGTCCACACCAAAAAAATCCGGAACTAAAATTAGTTAATGAGAACCTTTTTACCCCCTTTTCCGTCCCTGCTAGAGAGCAGGGACTTTCGTGGGAGAAAAAAGTTCCTATATCTGATTTACTCGGACGGCTTCTCGGAACGCTTCAGTAGTACTCAAGCTCCGGGGACTTCGGGTGGCAGTATACGCCGTGAAGTTGTTTGCGGCCTGCCAGTAAAACCAAAGCAGAAGAAGAAGAAGTGACGTCAGCGGCTTCATTTGCATAATCCTCCCCCAGGGACTTATTCCGGTGTGAACTAAAGAGTTCTCATGAACTAAGTTCTGATGAACCTTTGTGGGAAAAGTACTGCGGTGTGAAAGCGACTAATCAATCCAGTACTTCGCATTTAATACATTTTTAATGCAGACTCATAAACAGACCGCAGAGAGCCAGCATAATATAACCACCCAGAGTTCTTAAGGTCTTTTGTTTCAATAGTGTAGCTCTTTGGATTAAAATGTGTTTAAAGCATTGAAGTTCAAATAGATTAGAGTGGTGCAGGAACGAGTCCTAAACCCAGAAAAGAGTCAGCATTCTACCCCTAATGGTTCCCTATGGTACTGTCTCTGACTAAATAAGTTATTTGGTTAACCCAGGGGTTCCCAACTTTCTTCCCAAGAGCCCCCCCAAATGACTCCTGTTGGAAGTTGCGCCGGGGGGGGGAAACAGCGGTAATTAAAGTTTAAAAGTCTCAAAAATGCTACAACTACTGTCACAAACTGGATGAATGTGAAGTATTTTGTTAAAGGAGGATGAAAGCGTAATTAAGGAGCACTACTGGAGTGACTTTGATGGTTATTGGACTCAGGATCAATTCATTTGGATTCCCGCTGTATGAAGAAATGAATCTATTCAGGAAGCAATTGTGACTTAACTCGTTTCTACTTTTCTTTTGTTTCCCTACCCACTCCGGGCTTGAACTATTTACCCAGAAAACCATATAAATAATGTTTTGAGATAATCCTGACCTACACTTAAATTTCTTCATAAAGATTTTCCTTTTGGCCATTATTTTAGATTGAGAAGAGAGATATTTGAAAGAGAATGAGGATGACATGCAGAAATGCTCAGTAACATGTACTGGGCAGTCGAGAAGACAAAACTTAAAGTGTGTCGTGGTTCAGTCAAGTTACTGTTGAGTATGATGGTGTTAAGGTTTCTTGTAAAGCATTCCTGCAAAGATAAGTTTACAAAAACGTAAACTGAAATGGTAAAAGTATATTACCACCTTTTGACCGCTACAGAAATATGCCTCAATGGCCGGCTCAATGAATGGGGTTCGGCTCTCACTGGTGGCTTGGTATATGACAGCTTTCTGGTCTTACATCTTGCATCTGTCTCTAAAGTTCACTCTCCGGAATCAAGAGACGAGGGGGCAGTTTTACTTGATAGGAGAAGCAAAACATTTGGTGTTAAACTCTGTGACCTTGCTCTTTGAGTTTAGTGTAAACTAAGGATAAAACTTATACTTAAAAATGATTGGAAAATTGCTTTAAGGTTGGTGTCCTAGTTAGGTGTTACATAAATGAATTTTGGACATGTTGTCTTGTGGCTTGTTGCTTTTTGTCATCATATTTTCTCCTGAGTCCCCGCCTGTAAAGTAGAATTTTAGGCAATGTAAGGATATGAACGTCTAATCGAAGGATCAGACGTGTACATTGGTTATTTAATTGATTCTCATATTTCCCAGATATAATTAAGACAGAGGCTCTGCTAACTATCGCTCAGGAAGCTGGCTCTGTTTTATTTGATATTAATGTATTCTTTTGACAACCCAATTAGCCTTTTGCTGGAAAGCTTTAAGCTGCAGCAGTAGTCCAGATTGGAGGGGCCTGAGAGGAGAGGAGAGGGGAGGTGAGGGGAGGGGAGGAGAGGGGGGGGATACTTTTGGAATCGAGTTCCCGGTGAATACCCTCTTTTGAGCTAATGACTCCAGTGGTGTTGTGTCTGAAGGAAGTTGAACATTGATGTCATATTCTATCCCCGGACACAACCCTAACGGAGACCTGTTTTTCTCGAATCCAATTCGCGAAACCGGGTACCACAGTAGTTGAACATGTGGATGAAACGTTGGTCAATAAATCTCTTCCATCTCTTACTATACTGTGGAAACTGTAGAGTTTGGTGTCCAATTATTTAGGAAGGGCACCAAATCCATAAGAATTAAAAACAAAGTCAAAAAGGGTGGTTTATTTTAGAGGATTATTAAACCTTATCCACTTTTTATCATAAAATGAGTTTGGTTCAGGGTTATATTATTGAATTTTTTAACTGACTAGTAAAAGCTCAGAGAATTAAAAGAGGTGCAAGACACTATGATACGACGGGTAGTAAACCGGTCGTTTCCGTGACAGATCGGGCCGGGGGGAGGGCGGAAAAATCTCCGGCTCGTGACAATTAGGGACAGGAGGACCTTCGCCAACTCCTTAAAATCGAGGGGTCGTGCCTGG